TGAGTGCAAGATGCTGCAAGGGATTGAAATGGTATAAAGAGGAACAGGACAGCAAGTTATGACATATCACATTACCATGACAATGTCAAAACATGTACCTTGCTATTGTGGGTTTGGGACTTTAGTTTAAGATTTGCCATTTCTTCACAGAAAATGCACATGAGTGACTGGCTGCCTAATTTGAACATGTTCCAGGCTCTTGCAGGTTATGTCACTCACACTTTCAGGCGCTCACACAAGAAATCTTATGATAAATCAGTATTATTTGATTATAAACCTAAAATTAGCTACATCAAAAGCTTTGGGCTAGTTTGCGACACCTACAGAATATTTAGAATGTAATAAAACTGTTATATACATGCAAATGAGTGTGCAGACTGGTCACAAATTGACAATTTCACACCAGCCAGCTGACCAAAGCTTGCAACCCTGCACTTACCTTGTGAGTGGACAAGAGGTAATTCTCAAATAATCAGTTTACTCTTTTTTTTTTTTTTTGCGAGAGCAGCCTTCATTAAGCAATGAAAGAAATCGGTTGTTTACAGTTTACGCATCCAGCTTCCTCTGGCAACCCCGTATTTTACATCACAACGCCATGTACTGTGGGTAATTCCATCAGGCAAAGTCTGCAGAAATGCGGACTAACAGAAATTCTACATAAAGGGCCCAAAATGACTGTGAGAGACGCCTCATGCACCTGATGACAGCCCCAAGTCCTTTAGGACGTAGCAGGAACGAGCCTCCAAATCAGTGTGTCTGTGAGTGTGGGCACGGCGATTGGGCATCTGGTGCATTTCGATGTTATTCACTTGTAATCTGTAACGCCAATCAAACATTTCAGAACAGCTTATATTTCATCATTTTTTAAACAACAAGTGATGAGCTGACTTGTACAGTAAATAACCTAAGATGTTTTTGGAAGTGCTGCTAGCTGACCTTAATTAACCTCATTAAGGTGATTTAGGATGAAATGTAAAAAAGGTCAAGGTCACAGAGCCAGCTAGGGCCATCATCTATGGACTCTCA